TAACAGAAACGATCAAACTTTTTGGTTACGTCACTTATTGTATACAGTAATGTGAACAAGATAAAAAAATAACGTTTTTGTACATAGCAACACCATAGTTTTTGTGGCATTAGGTTTTGTTAACTTAAAATTTCGTTCTGTAATCAATGAACATTTTCGATATCCTTTCAAGACGTATACTCAGGCGAAACCTGTAGCCGCAATTAGGAACTAAACGCAGTCGACAGTGGACATCTCTGCTACCTAGCGGCGAACGCGGGAACTACCAGCAATAGACTTGTTTCGCGCTCTACAAGAGAATCAGAGAACGTACAGAAGTACGCTTGACAAACTGAATAAGCTCAATTTTAATTACAGTATGTAGGCCTATACTTATTGCTTAGTGTTTATGTTAATGAGTTGGAAAAAATGTTGTAGAAATCATCGAGATGGCCATCCTTGCCATTGTAAAAAAATAATGCAAATTTCCATATGGTACCGGTAGTGTTAATTTTGTCTTTTGCATGTTATGACTTACATATCTAACTGCTTTTCATATCCATTCATATTTATTGCGTATATTTTAGTACATAATTATGCTATGTTTATGCTGTGATTTAACCTATTTAATGCATTTTTTGAATGTAAAAGTGGTGTTACCGTTGGAAGAATAAATAAATAAATCATGGGCACCTGTTTCCTAATAGTGGGGGAAATACTCAAATAACATTGGTTATTAACAGTCAAGTAATGCTCATTTTCTTTGTAGTGAGCCTTTAAACGAATTTTCTTTTACAAAAGCAAGTCATTAACCTTATGGTCATTAAAATTTGCTACAACCAGGCTAACTTAACATATTTAAACATTAATTTTAGCAACATCCTACAAAATAGTGCCCTAGTGAGAAAATCTCAAATGTTTGCATTTTAAAAACACAATGAAAATATGTATTATATTTAAATTAAATTTTTAACCAAAACTTTCCGCAGAAAGGAGGAATTTTAAGGCTGGGAAGGGGGTTCTAAAAGAATAACTTATAAGCTTAACTTAGTTTTTTTGCTCAAACTAAAAAAAAATCGTTCACCATTAAAGGAGCTTAATTGATACCATTGTGCAAGGTTTAAAGAGTAAAACAAGGAGTCCTATACATTTCGACAATATGTTAATAATAAATAGCTAAAAAACTTAAAACTAAAAAAATACCCCCGCCGCAGCAAACCTGCCGACTAAGCGAATTTCCATTTGTCTGAATTGATTTTCATTAAATTTATTTAAATAACATTAGGTTTAATGAGTACCTAGGTTTGCTGCTACAAGGAAACCAATAAAGTGTACTTTTTTGTAAAAGATTAATAGCTTAGTATAAAATAAATAAATTTGCCAAATTTGATCAAAATATATCCATAAAAAAGCAAACTACAACATTTTACAATATTCTTCATAAGAATAACAAGGGAATTTTAAATTTACAATTTTTTTAATTTTCTCCATGACCAATAACCGTACAAAAACACTTTGATATACTAATTTTTTTTGTTTTTTTAAGCTCTTTAAAAAGGTCTAGAGAGAAATTGGGAAATTGTGTGGGTCAAAAATTAGAAAAACCATTTTTTACCCCGTAAAACCCCGTTCCCATGGTCCGATCATGCCGGTTTACGAACTCATTCAAGTTTATCTTGCCTTACACCTTTAAACCAAATTTCATCAAAATCGGACAAAAATTACTCAAGTTATCGCGTTCACGGACGTATATATATATATAAAAATTTGAACGAATGGTGTTTTTGGCCTCTGGGGACATCAAAATGAAAAAGTAAATCGGTCCCGGGCCTAGGTCTTACCGTGCCACCTACGGTAATAGCTACTTCCCTATAGAGAAATTCGCTAAAATATATTAACTACGGTAACTAAAAGACTTCTATGCGATATTAAAGCCTGTACGGTAAAAACCCGATATATTTCCTCAAAATACATATGAATAATAGTGTTGTTAAGTAAATGAGTGCTGTGATTTTATAAGATTAATCTAAATTAAAGGATTTTTCAATATTTACTTACTGAAGAGATTCAACATAGCCTAGACATTTAGGTTTTAAGATTTTATCACCCTTAGGCACTAGTGCACAACAAAATTATGATACATCCTTCAGTCGCAACTAATTAGTCTAATTGTGAATTTACGAACTCAAAGCCATGTCATGTACCATGGGTACACAATAATTTAAAAGAACACCAATACTTGTTCATACAGGTACATTCAGCCATTCAGGTGTTGGGAAATTTCGAATGAGTGACAAATTGACCTAAACCCGTAGTGAGCGGAGTGGGCCAAAGCCTACCAGTGCAGATACCCCAGGTGCAGACACACCTAAGCTAAGGTAAAACAAGAAACAGCCTAACATCTTTCCAAGTAATAACAAGACGTAAACTTAAGTTATAGAAGCTCTCTAGTCTCTGAACATTAATAATGGTTAAAAATTAACAATTAAGGCTGCCCTAGACTGCCCCCTGGTCTGTACTAGAGTAGAGGACAAATAATTAACATTACATCTGTCGCAGCAAACAAGGGAATTTTCATTTAAGTACTAAAAACTCCATCGTCAGGCTTTAAACTTATCTTAAAATCAAAATCTTAAATGTAGGCCTTTCATTTGACACGTCCAACAAAAATATTTGTACAAATTCGCCATTGATAAAACTGCAATATTTTGGTTTTCTATCTAAGTACTAAGACTAGTTGTTCTATTTTGTATTTATTTCAAGAATAGGTACCGCTGGCTATGGTAGGTCACATTTAACTTAAAATATTTGTTGATAATAAGCTACATATGTATATTTTTTTATTCATATGTATATTTTTTTATTCGTATGCATAACACCCTGAATGAATAATACTGAAAAATAGGCATTTAACTTATTCTTAAATGAATAAGTTAAGTTAAGTTAGACTTGTGAATGGTGCTCATCATTAAGCTTATACTTAAGGATGGCTATTTCCCGTTCCAAGCAGAATCGTTTCCAGAACCTGATGCTATTTGATGCCTACTAACAAACTAGTTGAAACTAGATGGTAACAACACCAGGTAGTAACTTAAGACCTAAATCCCTTACAAAAAAACTTAAAATTCCAAAGTGGTAACTTTTAAGATTTGAGTTACACAATATAAAAATACAAATATCGTTCTTGAGTGTACGTGTCCCTAACGTTCTCAGCACTGTTAATAGCTTAAAAATATAAACTATCGATAAGTAAGTTACTGTAGGCTTACAAATTGATATACCGGTACTTCCTATAAATAAAGAATTAACGTTCATATGTAACTTATTTTAAAATTTGAAATTTGTGATGAAGATATTCCATAATAATTCTCTTTAAATCAAATGCCCACCCCTTTGCATGATTTAAAAATTTTTGAAGGCCTAGTAAATAACTTCTGAGGCTAAGTTGGTTCCTTGACATTATCAACATTTAGGCCTACGCAAGGTCCTGAAATGTGAATTATAAATCATGATTATATAAATGGCCAGAGGGTTCTGCATCAGTCAATAATTTGCATCCAATCTCTGACTTGAGATGGTGAATTTCCGATCATTTAATGTTGATAATGTGGTAAGTCTTACCTAACTATTTACTAAAGGTGCCTCCCAACAATTTTTTTATTTTTATATCTTACTCTATAGTTTTTTTACCTCCTGAATCCAAATATACCATAATTTTTCACCGCGGATGAATATTACTCAAGATATAACTGTAAAATGTACAATGTTTGAATACACATCTTATAAGACAAATTAGCCTACATTTAAGTTACAAGTACCGTACTTAGAATCAAAAAATTGAACCCTAATAGGAAATTTGCTAAAATGGGATTTATGCAGTAATATGGTTCTGTTCTACATAACCTAACTGAACCAAACTTCTAGAACGTCAGCAAACTCCTTTGAAGTCAGAAAAGGAATGTCAGGGTGGGTCAGGCTTTATACGAATTCGTGACTGTATTTAAGTCCTTTGAAGTTAGGTTGGATTATTTAAGGTAAAGATTAGGTTGTAATGAATCGAGATGTTGGATTGTCACATTGTTTTTGTACAATTAAAACCTTAAAAACACTAAGTTATGTTACCGTATTTAAAATAATGCTTGTATTTTTGAAATAGAGTTTTTAAGTTATGTGTTTTACCAGGGTTTTAATTGTACAAAAACAGTCTTAACGTGACATAAACCAACATCTCGATTCACTATAACCTAAACTTTACCTTCCTAAGTACCTAATCTAACCTAACTTCAAAACACTTAATTACAGCCCCGAATTTGCATAAAGTTTGGCCCACCACCGTGACCCGAGCCTAAATAAGAACTAAGTTTAAGTAAACTTAAGGCCTACATGCAATGAATTAGTCACAGTTCATTCCTCTTGTTAATGTCATCCGGCCTACCTTGTTTATTCTAATAATGTAGGCTAGGCCTATATTTGTATTGCAACCTAACTTGTCTTGAGTAATATTCATCAGCGGTGAAAAAAAATAGTAACTTATATTTGGAGGCGCCTAGGCTATAGTAAATAAATACCGATAACTCCATAAGTTAAGTTAGTCCTACCTTCTTTAAAAAACTAGGCCTAAAATAGTAAAGGTTAACCTTTCAGACACTTAAATAAGGTTATAAATATTACCTATAGGCCTAAAATAAAATAATTTAAAGGTCTACTAGCCACTGTGCAGTGACTCTCTAGGCCCAGCTGAGATTGGCCTTCCTAAAAATGTAGGGTAGTAACTTAGCTGTAGCTAGTACATCTGAATGTAGCTTCCCTTTTTTCCGACACGGATTAAATTACATACTCATCTTAATAATCCGATAATTTATCAATAACTTTAGCAAAACTTGTGTCAACGAAGATCTTTGATTTTATTATTTTCACTACAAAATTGAGGTTAGGTCTAACCTCGTTTTGTTTAATTGAGGCGCAATAACACACACATTTTAGAAAGCTAAACTTATTCTTTGAATTTCAAAACTACTTACCGATAAAATAACAGGACACTAACAGATCTTTCACGAAAACACCCTCGATATATATTAAGCTTAGATTTTCGTTAAACAAAGTTGAAATAAATATCTCGCTTTCTGATTCTGAATTTCCACTATTTCCAGTTCCCTCCCACTTTTTGTTCTTCTTTTTCTCTTCTGTTTTTCCAAATTTCAAATTGAGCAAGTTTGCCAACAACGTTTTAAGAGAGAGCCAAAGAGCAAACTACCTAAAAGGAAAGTATTCGTATAAAAGTGGCTGTATAGTATTTAGAATCTGACCTCATTCATTTAACCTATGTTTTATCTATGATTTAACTTAAATACATTAAATATCAGCCGAAGACAATGTAAGGCTATTACTGCCCGGTTTTGTATAGAGCATTTTCTTGTTTATAGTTTATTTATTGTTATTTAATTCGTTTAAAAAGGTAATTTTAGAACATCTAATGTTCAACAATAAATAACCCTATGAAGATAAACTACAAGTTACAAGTTGTAGCTTGTAATTTCCATTAGATTTTTTTCATTGGGAGATCAGCTGATTTATAACATTAGTTTGTAATTTATTATGCTAAAGGCCCCTGGTGTTAAACCCAAATATAGTAAAGCACAGATTTTAAATCTTCCTCGGAATAAATAAAATTGGTATGAGCTATTGAGCATGCCTCCAGCTCAGTGGCATCAGCGATCTCTAAACGGTACCAACATTTAAATTGCAAAATATTATTTTTTCATACAGAGAAGCAAGAAAATTGAAGATAAACATCTTACCTACAAGAACTCAGGCAACAACGACAATAGTAAACCATAGATAAAACATACGGTACTTCAGTATTAAACGGAGGCCACATTTTGTCAGCGCGCTGCGGCGGTTATGTTAGGTTGGGTTATCATAATAGAAAGTATCGTTCGATTCATAACGAAGCGAGGAAAGTCCTACACACATAATATTTACGATAACCCAACCTAACATAACCGCCGCAGCGCGCTGACAAAATGTGGCCTCCGTTTAATACTGAAGTACCAAACATACTCCCTTAAACCTAATACAATAGTTAAAGTTTTTGGAACTGGGATGACAAAAAGTATATTTATGATCATCAACAACAAGTACTGTATTAATCCCTCCGTGTGAAGAAAATTTTTGGCGATAATAAGTTATATAAGAAATGTCACTAAGGACCAACATTTTCCATCACAATTAGTAAAAAATAAATTTCACAAAAAAGGTTGGGATAAATTTAATAGGCTAACTTATAAAAAGTGAAATGCAATAAAAATTTATCAGTACATATTCCGAATAATATAGGCGCGCGTAGCCTGCTGTAGCTGCAAAACCTTTTTATTGCATATGTGGATTGTGGATGTATGACAATAATTCCTAGCAAATTCATTTTTTAAACTTAAAAATATTACAAGCATACCGTATTACTGAATAATTTCGTACTATCTTAGTGAATAGACTACTAATATGCTATTTTATTTGTGTGTCACATGTTATTCATTTTAGTACTATTATAATATTCTAATATTTATACGCAAAATATGATTTTAAAGAAGGCACATACCCCCCCGTTCAAACTGTGAATATCCTTTGGGAAACCATAGGAACAAACTCAATCCAAACATATTTTGGTACTAATAAAAATGGGGGTTTTGGGGTAAATTAAAACGCTGAAAGCAAACCTTGCTTATAGCACCTTGTTTGAAGAACTCCTATAGCTACCATGTCGCAAAATATTGCGTAAGTAAAATATATCTTCATTTACAGTTTACTCAATTAGCAATAAAATTCTATGTTACTAAAATCACAAGAATAGGGGAATCGATCATCGTGCAATAAACACTGATGGGATACCTATACCAAAGACAAAGGAACAAGTATACTTACTGTATTCCCTATCCCTTGTCTGTGTCTATACTCACTACGTATGACCTTCTCACAAAATGTACGCATTTGCAAAGAGTCCGAGCAAAAAGTGTAAATTAATTATTAATGAGAAACCAACGGAGAAATAAGGGCCAGAAAAGGTAGCCTGAGAGACAAAAGCTGTCCGCAACTTCAAAGGACTTGTCTCGCTTTTTCATCTCATAGGGCTACGAGCTTTAGAAGCTTGCACCAACATATCATTTCAGTTCACTGTACAAGATACTTCCACATTTACTATGAAGCATGTATGCCAAACAAAGTATTTTTGATTATTTCAATTCCCAAGCACTTTGAAACCCATCCAGTTGAATTGTTTAATGCTAAATTAAATATACCTTTAACAACCCCATCCAATATTTAAAAAATACGGGTATTTCGGTTTGATGCTTAAAGGGACACAAAAGTTTCTTTATTGGCGATAAAAAAATTACAAATTTTATAAATTATAAATATACTTCCACAAACAAAGCAGTTTACAGTGTTTAGTTTAATTTCCATTAGGATAACTTGGGAGATTTTGCGCACCCCCACAGCCACCTCTAAAGGTGGCTATGGTATCCCTCTTCTATTACAAGACTTAAAAGTGGCAACACCGCAGCCCCGGCGTACCGAAACAGCTGTTGTACTAACTCAGGAGTGTCTGTGCAATTTTTACGTTTACGCGTTTGTTATTATTTTTATTATCGGCTTTAAAGCTATTTTAAGCTTATTTAAGCTTATTATTTAAGCTTATTTAAGATATTTTAAGCTATTTCGGCTTTTTTAAGCTGGTTGGTGCGACGTTGTCACAGACCAACGCCGCGGCCTTGTTTAGAAAAGTATACGGTTTAAGCTCATTATACTTCTGTTATTATTTAAAAAAAATGAAAAGCATGCATCCTTATATATAATTCCGTAAGTCAAATTTTTGTAAAGAAATTGTGAGTGACTGGATTGCCGTAGAAGGATGGGAGGGGTCTTATTTTAAAGGTCTTGACGTGAATTTTGAGGGAAAACTATTCATTTTTCTTAATTATGCACCAAAAGGTCCTTATGGAATAAAATAATTCACATTTAAATAACATGGGAATCTATGTCATGTCTGCTTTGTTTACTTTAAAACATGTGGTTTTACTTTATTTAAAGCATATGGTAATACAGTATGTAATGTACTGTAAAATGTATACTAACCCTAAAGAGAGGTTTAAAATACTAATTGACTATATACAACCGTATTTCCATTGCACCATCTGGAATGCCACCACACAAATTAGTTTTAAAAGTTGGTTCAATAGTAATGCTCATTAGAAATATTAACCTAGGGTCTGGATTAGTTAATGGAGTACGATTGGTTGTGTTAGGTACCTATGTCTAAAAAAAGTGTAAAATTAGTAGTAATTACTTGAGAAGCAAAGTGAACAAATTTTCTGGCTAAAAATAAAACTAATAACTACAGATCGTAATATGCCATTTAAGTTTACAAGGGAAATTTTCACATAAAATCTATATATCTAACTCCGTAAGCCCAACATTTTACAATGAAATTGTGAGCGAACGGGAGGCCGTAAAAAGCTGGGAGAGGTCTTATGTTAAAGGTCTGGGCATGATAATTTGGAGGCATGAAAAGTCCTTTGGAATTTTAATTTTTAACAGAGCAGACATCAAAATGCTTTATACAGGTATGTAATAACTATTATACATATTATTATAATATACAAAATCTTAAACTACAATCAAGGTAGGGTAACCCATGAGACTAATAAATTGTACAAAATAATTACTAGAATATATATAGGGGCTATTGCCCCTTCAAGCCACTAGTTATATAGAATTGATTGTCTTCCAAACGTATTTTAATGACTAGCAAAATTGATGTTATCATTTGGATTTAAGTGAACATCTGATTGATCAAATACTTTTTTGATGGGCCCGTGAATATATAAAAAAAAATTCTATTGTGTCTTAGAATGTTATAAAACATTTAGCAATTTAGAGGCCATCGACAAATATTAATTTAATGTATGGCGTATGGTATACGCATAATACCTAGAATATTAGGACATGATTTCATATCAAAAGGATTTATTAAATGAAAATATACAAGTTAAACATAAGCACATTACTACAAAATAAGGGGAGTGAAGGAGTATGTATCAGTATTTTGATTCTACAATAAAAAATATATAAATGACAGTATACCGAGTAATTATCCAAGTAAGCATACCATTCTTCATTACCTTTGCACAAGTAAGGCATTTATAGTTTTGTAATATTTTTATTAATTAACCCAAGGCATTTATAGTTTTGTAATAATTTTATTAATTAACCCAAGGCATTTATAGTTTTGTAATAATTAATTTTATTAATTAACCCAACATTATCAATGACTTTGATATTGTTTAATAGAATGAAATGAAATGAAAATCCTTCTTTATTGAGGCGAACTTAGGACCTCATGGTCCTTTCTTACCATTACCTATCTATCTTCTTACCATTACCATTACCTATCTTACCATTTTAGAATCTGATACAATACCCACATATATCGATAATCTAAATCGAAAGTACTCTTGCCAGGGAGTTTTTATAAACATAATAAAATACGAGCCATGCTGCAATTTCATGGACATTGAAAATGACAGTAAGTTTACGAATCCACTGTTCGATAACTTCAGCTATTTGTGCTTTTAGCGAATTTCCCTATAGGGAAGTAGCTATTACCGTAGGTCTCATGGTAAGACTTAGGCCCGGGACCGATTTACTTTTTCATTTTGATGTCCCCAGAGGCCAAAAACACCATTCGTTCAAATTTTTATATATGTATATATATATATATATATATATATATATATATGTGTGTGTGTCCGTGAACACGATAACTTGAGTAATTTTTATTCGATTTTGATGAAATTTGGTTTGAAGGTGTAAGGCGGGATAAACTTGAATGAGTTCGCGATCCAGCATGATCGGACCATGGGAACAGGGTTTTATGGGGGGTTTTATGGGGTAAAAATTGGTTTTTCTCACTTTTGACCCTCAAAACACAAAATTTCCCAATTTTTCTCTAACCCTTCTTAAAGAGCTTAAAAAAACAAACAATTCAGTATATCAAAGTGTTTTTGTATGGTTATTGGTTACGGAGAAAACTAAAAAAAATGGTAAATTTAAAATTCCCATGTTATTCTTATGGAGGATATTGTAAAAT